CATAATTGAGGCCGGCTAGATCAGTCATGATCGCAGCCGTAATAAGTACAAGGAAGCCAAGATCTACCATCGTCTGATTTGTCTGCTACGGTGCTAGATGGGCTGTAAACGTGGCACTTCCTTCAGAAGCCAGATTCAGTACAAATGACATACTTTAATTGCGCTTGCATTGTTGATCACAAAAACTGGTTTAGCGGTGTCCATATTCCACGCAACGAAGAACACAGTCTTCAGTCTTTAATTGACCGCCAGCCATCATCCTCCATTTTACCTTATATTCCCAAACCCCGAAGTGGGTGGAGCCCAACATCTCCCTAAATCCGAACTTGGCGAGTTCTGATTTTTTGACTGATTAACACGACGGATGATGGAGTACATAACAAAATCCTCTGAGGCGACGATCGCTTATTGCAACTTCAGTAGGTGTTTCCATTCGTCGATAGAGTTCAAAATTTAATTCTTGGTCTAAGAACTGAGTCTCCAATAAGCGATGTCTGCAGAATTAAGGTCCAAGACGAGGTCGTACCTTGTCTGGACGCTCGCGTGTTCAAACCGTTAAAGAGCACTGAAGCCGAAATTAAACTTCATCGGACGCTAGCATAAGCTGTTAAACAGTTATTCTCATCATAAGCTTGCACTCTTATGCGCGTGAATTAATAGTATGCCTTAGTTAAGTTAATTGGTTTTGGGTGCATACCATCAATCCATGCGGTTTTTTTGGAGAACTCTGCAGCGGCATAAAGGTCTCAAGTACTATCTCTTCTGTATTAATGCTCAAATTCTTGTTTTAAATGCCTGGCTCAATCAAGCTCTGCCAGGATTTTAAAAAAACTGCATCGCAAGAAAACTTTTGCGACGGTCTTCGTAGTAATGTTAATTAAACAGAATTCCTTCATCTTCCCGAATAAAGGAAGTACATTGACTTTGTCTCATTCTCACGGAGCAGCCTTATTTTGCCAGGGCCACAAACCTATGTAGTCATCGGTCTGAAACACTAATACAACAGCTCCGACAGACTTTGACAGCCCGTCGTCCTCTGAAGCTAATTTTTATCGAGAAGGTCCGATTGCTTCTTTAGTTTTGGCGGTTACATGTTCGCGGTCATTTTGTGATGCAGCTTTGGTATACATATTGGGCTTACTTATGACTAGCATGCTCGGTAAAGTTCGATTTTCTGGATAACTTTTTCGAACAGAGCTTTTATTTTATTCTGTACCCGACATTATAGCGTGACAAATCGATCGTTAATATCGAAAGTGCTCTATAAATAGACTAGCGTAATTCCGGAACAATTAGCATGTACACAAGGAGTCCTTATTTACGCACTGCCCACTTGCCACAGTCACGTCTCTAGAGCCTCTGTGAAGACTTTGATCGGCGCAGTTTTTAAGTGGCATAGTGTTGACCATGTGTATGTGGTAATGTCATATTTTTTGTCTCGTCATAAATTGAGGGTGCTTCGAGAAAGCATCGAACAACTTTCCTCTGCACGCCTTCGGTGAGCATAGATGCATTTAAGTTATCCTAGCCAAAATGAAATCTTGAATTTACTTCTAGGAATTAACTGGATTACAAACAATAATATCATCAGGTTTGCTTATTAAAAGCCTATATCACTCCTCTTTTCAAGTGGCGAGACCGGATTTTGTCGATCGTGTGCATATTCTTTTTTTTTAACTTCGTCATCACGGTATTTTATTGCTGCGATAAATATTCATTGTTATGCGCGATTTCACTTTTTACGTTTGTACAATTTCCTACTTAATTAGTAGCAGTAGTTCGTATATTTAGTGATATTATTTCACCATGCATCACAGTTGGATTAACGACCACTTCAGAAGTACGTTAGACCTTGGACTAAATGATCTTCCGACATAGGGTCAGGTGTTTCGTTTTCCGTGCAGAAGAGTGTACCGAACTGAATTTACGCAATCGATTCTCCCTTTTGTCTACAGCGCCGAGCTCTGGGTCTCAACCAGACTAAAGTCACTCTTCAAACTTTCTTGGCATGGAAGAAACGCAAGGTTAGTCTGCCGCTCCCACAATCCCCCAAATACTACAAGTGAAAGCTTGTCTGTTTGTATCCCACTGAATCATGTTTTACACACTTATCAGCGACAGGAAAAAATTGCTGCTGGTAACGCCGAAAGGGCTAAAAAGGAGGCTAACTTCACTCAAGGCCGTCTCGTCGGGGTAAGTGCTCTGTTTCATGCCCGAATCATCAAATGCCCTAATAGTTGACTTTCCTTAATTCCCAACTTTTTGTTCTATGCAGATTTCAGGACGTGAGATGTTCGAATTCAATCCTGACTTCGTTAATGAGGGCGAGGAAATTGATGGTGATGTTTGTGACTCTCGGCTTCGCGAAGAAGAGGAAGAAGAGGTCTGGGTACACAGCTAGTTATACTCTATATTTTTCCACATCGTCGGTCAGAGTCATACTAAAAGAACTAAGTAACTGCTTCCCAAAAGACCTAATTCAACATTTATAGTGTAACCTAGCATTTGATGAGTAGGAGGTTGTTGCTCGACAGTTACCAGACTCGCGTCCTTAACCAGGTATACGATGTTTCCATTGTGCGTACAAAAATTGACCAGAGTTTTTGACCACATAGGTCAAAGCAGTAATTTGTGCAACATATCTTCGCTGCACCTGCCTTTTATGTTATTACGACTGTCTGATCAGGCTGGCTTTAATTAAGTCGCCCAGAATACCGTTTTGTGTCGGTAACAAATATTAGACATCAAGTAAATCTCGTTGCTGGCAGTGACTGAAAGCGGGTGGTTTAGTTTAGCACAGCATAACTACCTTCTTTCCTAATGGCTCGAAATTTTTTTTCCCAAGTTTTAACTAAGGCAGGAGTCTGCTCTTTGGGTTTGAAGCGGCTTTCGGAAACTTGTTTGTTTCTGTCTTTTGCACGGATATTCCAGCGTCCGCAACAGTCAAGGATAGCCTGTCGGTCAGATATCCGACATACATAGAGTGTTTTGATGGTTGTGGTATCCCATAAACAATTACAACTTTTAATGATAATCCTGCCAACAATATTGATTGGGTAGACGGTAAAGTTTTTACTATTTCATTTATGCGGCAAATTGACCTCGGTATATCTGATACTCATTGATTACTTAGGTCCATCCTCAGATCTCAACGTTATCTGGTTCTGTGTTGACACTGATACGGATAAATATGCGAATTTTGCAATCACACTAATCCAGAAACATCGGCTGGTTTCAAAGTCGCCATTGTAGTCACGTTCGGTCAGCCGGTGTCCCTATGTCATTTCAACTCTGAAACTTTCGAGAACCAGCATAAGCCTAAGTACGGTAGGTGTGCTATCTCACAAAACACTCATCGAAATTATGAACCGTGTTTTTGATTTTAAAGGTTAACTTGGGTGGGGTTGTGATTTAAATTGTTATGCAGCATAATACCAAGGTATTTCAGTCACGTCCGAACACTGCCTTTTAAACGACTTTCTTTTGGACCGCTTGCAAACCCTGCATTCTGTATAGAATGGTTACTTAGTATTTCGGATTTATTTCCGATGTCATTATAAATTCACATATATTTTATAAACAACATGCAATAAATATTATTTTTTTTCACTTTGCTGATAACTCACATTTAATGTAAATTTTATACTTGAAGTTTAGGTATTTTTCGGTTTTTGACGGCTTTTTTTAAAAACCCGAATCCTTTAAAGTCCGATCTGCTGTCATGCTTGCAGTAAGGATTTCCAAGTTACTAGCTGTATATTTTTGTGCCAGAAAGTTCATACATTTCTATTTGCTATGAAAGGTATGCCATATAAGGCTCATTGAATTTTCCAGTGAAGGTGGACCATATTGTCAAAGAGAACGCCATAATGAGAGATTTTGAAGCCAAAAATATCTGTTCTTCAAGTATAACCTTTCGAGAAGACGCCATTTTTTCCAAAATAAGTACAAAAATACTCTTCTATATTGAAAATAAGTGGAGAAATTTCGATACTTAGGCAGTCAATCTTTACAGCGTGTAGTTTTTGCGGGCGGTCGAAAAACGTTTGTTTAAAAGCCGGCATTCTGACATGCATGAAATATCTAGGGATTATACTTATTGTTACTTAGCATTACAACCCTACTCGGATCGTACTTTCTAATCAAAACGCATTTCAGAATCTCAGTTACATTTTCATAGGATATCACGTCAACTGTAAATAGAATTGACAATCTGTCTCACCCGCATCCAATAATCGACTGAATCTCCGCTAATTTGTAGACCATTTTGCCGGTGTCGATTCCCCAAATTACATCCTCGGATAAGATGCATTTTACAGTCTGGGGTTTCATTTTGCTGTTTTATTATTTTAGACTATCCTGTTTATTATGTGATTTTCCTTACAGTTGGATGTCGAAGTGCGTGATATCGATCTTTCGGCGTTCGACGAGGAACACCTCCTGGAACTCGGTAAGTTACCATACTTGGTCGTCGTCATTGTAAAAATGAGGTTCCCATGTAAACTGTCACACAATAGAGGCGTTCACCGAGAGAGGTTTATTTATGACCTGAAGTTTCGAGTAGGAGTTTCGTCTATTCATCTTCGGAGCCTAAAGAGTCCTGTGGTTACTGCTCGTTATATGATTCGCAGGTTTCAAATGCCAGACGCTGGACTGGGTCGGATCCCCGATGCAACTTATCCTGTGTCGTTCCTGTTCGTTTATTGCGGAGATAATTGGCGGCCCAGATGGTTTCATGCCTTCACTGTCTCCGGCCAAGACAACTTGTGGAAAGAGATAGGAAGGGGGTAATTTCGGTGGCGGTTGACCGAGCAGTTGATGGCCTCCCACATCTGTCTTGATGTGTGATCATCGCCACGATCCGCAATGACGTTAAGGTTGAAGATGTGCCCCACCTGCGCATTGGGGGCTGCTGCCTGTGCCTCTGGGTCTAACCTAAGAGCGAACAACTGATGCCCATGCACTCGCGTTTACAGTCGTCAGCCAGCTTTTCTAACTTAATTACACATCGTGCAGCTGCAATGAAGTTTATAGGTAATTGTCGACTTCTGTTGCTTGGGGCTAGGATCTTCTTGCCGCATCCATTATCGGAGGATTGTTAAGTCAAGCCCGTTAGCAGCTGTTCTGGGTAGCGCGGGGGATCTAACCACGGCCTTCAAGGCTCCCTTCATATACGAAATTCTCCGCTATTATATCGGTTGATTGCACTCCAAAAACTCGAAAGACGTCTTTTCGGGGAGTACAAACTCAAATTTTGACGATATCTTTGTCATTCTTGACTTGGATGAGACTAGCTACTGTGAAGAACGAATTAACTCATTCATCCCTGACATACTGTCCGTGACTGAAAAGGAATTAAAGGACAGACTTCCGTTCTTGATCTCGTCTATCGCCAACTAGACTGCTAGCTGGTGACGGAAGTGTACAGAGAACCGATAAACACGTTGCAGCTGCTCGGATGCAACAGAAACCACATACTGCAACTCAAACGCACGTTATACCGATGGTTGGGAACACAATGCAGCACGCCAGTCGCCAGGCGGGATGAGAGGAAACTCTACCGAGTGCTCTTCAAAGCCTGCGGCTTTCTAAGTCCATTCGTTGAGAGAAGTTCAGTGCCATAAACGGGATGGAAAGTGCAATTGGCTAAACTATCGTTGGAGCATTTCGTGTATAAAGAGGGCCTCCGAGGCCTTGACTTATATCCTCGCGCTTCCCGAAATAAGAGTTGCTCAGAGACCTGACTGACCTATCTGTTTTGGCAGAAGATGTGAAACCATTAGGCCCATTAATTGTCGCCACAGTCAAAGAGGGTCGAAGCGACACACGTAGTGAAGTTGGGTCCTATTCAACCTCATAGTGAGAATTAGTGACCTACGCATCGGACGTAATAGGCGATAACAAAAGCAGGACACAGAACTCACCTGTCTACGAAAGTGTCTAACCGAAATCCCCCCACGAAACCTCAGGTCAGAAATAAAACTCCTGGTGAACGCCTATCGACCTATTGACTGTACTTATTACTGTTTTGTGTAAATTATCCAGTCTTCTTAACGAGCACACATCCGTCCAGTCGAATTTCGCATTTGACTCCTCTTTTCCTAATCAGAAGATCCAGGAATGAACCTCTTAATTTCTTTGCCCTGCCAGTCTGTAGTTTTGCTTTAGGTCCTTTCGGGCAGCTTATTTATGGTTATGAAGTTGGCGATCTCTTCCACCTTGAGTTTCTTTTGTACGGTGAGAGATACCAAGAGAAAGAGGGAGTTAAGTTGATGTTACACAATTCTCCCCACTATCATTCAGTTTATGTACAACTTGCCTCCGTCTTTCTGTCCCGGAAAGTGGTCGCCTGCACCCTTTTTGACTAACAAACCATCGAATTTGCTTTTTACGTTAGATTCTGGTTGGTTCATCACACATAGGATTTGATTATGCTTGTATTTCATTGGTCCAGTATTTATTGTTAACTGGGATGCCCTGCTAAACTCACTGTAATATTGTTTACGGTTAATATGGTCTTACTTAGTATGAAGTTCACCTTAGTGTTATTGATTTTAATATCTGAAAACAGTTAGGAATCGTCCGTGCGGAATTATTTTGTTGGACGCATGCTCTATGTGGTAGGGGTTGCATGTTTTCGGAACCCTCGCCGTCATTTTTCATTTTGTCGGCTTGGAAGTGCCGAGAGCAATTGTTTTATGTTTTAACATTGGTTTTCTATGGTACTAATAAGAAAGCGCTTTTGTAGATGACTCTGGCCATCAGGAACCCGCGACGAAGAAGGACTCCTCGCATCCTGCTAAGGGTATGTCAGAAATTTTTACGCGAATCTCTGCATCTCACACCGGAAGACGATTCTATCCATTAACCTATTTGCTACCCACCCGGTCCGTCACCTGTCTACACTCAGTTATCGACTGCAAATGAGTGTGATAGAACAACCACCAAATCACACTTTCAGGATGTGTTTGAAGAATTCCCTTGCTGTGAACTGCTGGTTGTTGTCGAGGGCTAAAATTATGGGACTGAGCGAGGCGACCGTTTTAGACTCTGTTCTGGATTCGACAACAGTAAATAAATGTTAAATGGAATATCTGCAGCTGGCTCGCCGCAAACGCTCACCTGAACTCGATGGAAGGAACGAAATACCCGTCAAACTCTTTACGTCGTGTGCTTATCCTGGCTGAATAACCTGACCAAATAGGCAACGGGTTATAGGAAGTGCTGTGATAGGTTTTGACGGTGTCTAATTTGCAACAGGACGCCAGCGGGCTGACTTTGACTGTGCAATGTCGTCCGGCTTTCGGAAAACTATTGCGACCTGTGGAAAAAATAATGTTGCGAACGCTTGATGAACCATTCCGGGATTACCAATTATGAACTTCGAGGATTTGACGGCTTCAAGAACTTCGGTGAGACGCTGCTGCCAAAGAGTCTGAATAAGAACAACATCGTTTCCCGAACTGGTACTGCTAGTAGGGTTTTTACTGTACTTAGAAAGTGTCAACGAACTCGATGTCTTACTTCTTTAACCACAGATTGGCACTCGTCCGACTATTCCTCCCGTATAGCTTTCAATTTTCGGTTTAGTATTGTTAAGGGAAATATAGGTGAACGCCTTTGAGCTCCCCGTTGGTGACAAAGTGGCTAAGAAATGCATCGAAACAGTAGAAGAATTCAAAAAAAGATGTCACTTACGAAAGCAAGTATCAGTGAGTTAGCCGCAAAGAGTAAGTTGATGCGACTGCTCACTTATTACGAGTAGTATAATTACGCGTCATTAGTCTGATCGCACAGATCAGCGTGTAGCTATTGAATGAGAAAATTGATGCATGTCCAGTTTGCTTTTAAATGAATTCATGCAGGTGGGCCTAACGACATCTTCAGGCAGAGCGTTCCACGTTGCAACCACTCTGTTTTTGAGTAAAAACTTGCGTCTGTCGGTCCATGCTTTTTTTGGACGCGGTTTTAGGGAATGACCGCGCAAAGTGGGCATGTTAGCCTGAATAAAAGAAATCGGCGAAAAAGCAACAATCCAGGCCTTTCATAATGTGTACGGTATGTGTGGAAGAAGAATATAAACTGAAGGAGGTTTGATCATCGTTTCTTGGGTAGCATCCTTCAACTAAAGCACATTAGTTTCGTCTTGAATGAGACAGCCCGATCTCGCTGCTGAAGTCTTGTGGTGATTTTTTTGGGGCGTCCAAGAGCACGACTGAGGGGTATTGGAAGCTTTATTCGCCATTCACCTCGTGCTGTCTCGTCAGCAGTAAAGGCGTACCATCTACGATACCATGGAAACTGGCTAGACCAAGCCTGATCACACTTGTATCGAAAATGGCTTGGTGTGGTTTCGTGAATCTTATTGTTTTCCGTATTCGAATAGAATCACTGACTTCGATCACTTCTCAAGTCTCCATTTTCAGAGGAAGTGAAGTCGGGCGCTTCAGAAACCCGGACTAAACACCCGAGCCAGCGTTCGCGTCCTGTCACAACCGCGTCATGCGAAATGTGACAGTCGGTTAATTGGACTTTAACCCCCTAATTTCCGCTAGCACTGCTGTTACCACTCCGTTAAGAGCTGACTTATTTAGCAGCGAACCAGTGGGTCGTTTCCCCATTCGCCACTCACTGATGCATCGTATAGTCACCAACTAGGCCAGCGGACCGACCGCACTGGATAATACACTGAAAATAGCGGAATGATGCAACCCATCAAATGCAGACTTGAAGTCGTTAACTTTGTGAACCAATACGCACCTCAATCAAGTAGCATATGACCCTGAATGGAAAGGGCCACTTGAATCGCATGGAGGAATATAGGCGTCCCGTTTTCCTTTGGGGATTTGACCTGAAGTTTTCGCAGACGAGCAAATGACGATGAGTGGCCAAAAACAGGAGTAATACCAATGCCGATAAGGAAAGTTGGAATGCTCTTCGTCATATACTTATACATAGACTGCATGCCGGGAGGACTCGAATAAGCCCTGTGCTTCTTTACTTTATCTCGGCCCGGACTTCCGCTACTGTTAGCTGACAAGGGCAAGTAAGCCGTTAGTACTCTTGGTAAACTAACTATTTTCCCTTAAATTACACCATTTGGAATGTGAATGCACAGGAGCCCTTTTAAAATCAGTTCAGCAGTAACATGCATTGTAGATAGATGGAAACCAAATTACGGTTATCATATGACTTGGGCGATGGCGGGCACGCCCTTCAACTGCGCTAACAAATAATAGAGCTCATAACCAGATACTTCTAGATCGTCAATTCAGTTTAGCCCTCTTTACTAGGTATCCGTATGTGTCTTCTGCGAAAACCATCTTCGCCACCGGGTTGCCTTTCCACCTAGCCTACGTAAACGCAGAGTTCCTGCCAATTGTACCGTCTCCGAGTTTTCAGTACATGAGACGATGTATTGGAAGACCCTTTATGCAAGTCCTGTACTGCTCGAAATGAGTCTAACCGAATCGACAATTGGTATTCGGACATTTATAGGAACAGGAGTGACTTTTGGGGGGTGTATTCTGTTACTGTCAGACTAACTTCTTTTTCTACAGGTGACTTAGCAATTGATGAAGACCTTTTCAATAACGAGGACCTGGAAGGCTTAGAGGAAGAACTCGAGGGCCTCGAAGTGGAGCCGTGAGGGAGATGCACTCTTACTACCCGAACTTTGTAACTTAAGATCTTTGCCCATTATCAGCTGTGGGTTGTGTACATTTTTTTTTCAAGAATGCCGGAATTGGAGATCCCTTAAATCTTCTCCTTAATCTTTGAAGGGTGCAAATCTGTGGCCGTTCCAAGAATTTATTTATGGTATCATTGAAGTTTTTATTTAGCCAAGGTTACCTGGTCTTAGTATGGCAGTTAAAAAAGCGGCCGGTTAGCCGGATTTCACCTCGCACAAAACACCTTTACCCTAGCCCCGCAACCTGACACTCGAGAGCAGAGCTGAAAGAACTGGCTTTCTGTTGATAAGTTGCAGTCGGTATGCCCGAAGCCATTTGAAACTGTAAAGTCGACAGTGCTTTCGATCAGAAATCCAGTGTGTAAGATCAGAGCGACTAGTCTGAGGATTCATAAGAGCTCGCGATCAGCGGGTCAGCCCTCCCTGCTTTACTGGCTGAATGAAAGCAGAACCGAGGTACACCACGTTACTCCACTGCCAAAAGCGGTAGTACGTCAAAAGGACGAAGATGATGGTGTCAGTCTCGCGTTATGGTCGAGACCTTCTGATGAGTCCGCTAGGGTGTTTCTACCCCTCTTCTAAAAAGTCACCAGTTCTTGTGCTCGTAGACACACATACCATGCCAGGAGGTAGTCAGTATCGGCAACCCTTTGAGTGTTGAGGTAACAAGTTAGAACTTTAGTTAATTGATACAAGCCCGTACCGTGCGGTCAACTGGGGCTAATGGCCATCCACCTGATATGCCGACGTTAATGTTAACCCTCTATGACGATGCGTATTGCAGGAGTGAAATGAATGATGCAAAGATACCACTAGGATATGCACAGGCAATTGTGATGTTCGTTTACTGTCAACGTAGCATTTGTCAGGCTACCGTGATTGACTGGGACCGGACTAGAGACAGAACCGTGAAAAGGTGCTCCGATTTTACTTCACAAGAGGATAAAATAGATTACATTGTTAATTTTGATAGAACTCCTGTGACTTTTTCGTTGACCGACAAGAATGAACTGAAATGCATAATTGCTTAGAACCTCAATATCGTAAGCCCGTCCAGACCACAAGGTTCTTCGGAAGTCTACCCAGTCAAAATAGTAAATTAATTCAGGGCCGTGAGGTTCGAATGGATTGTATTACATGATTGGATTGAATGATGATGATATGCAGCAGACAACCCTCGTTAGAGATACAAAGCGTTTTCATGAGGGCCATCGGAAAAACGAAAAAATATGCGAAAATTTGGTGGAAATCTGGGAAAAGGGAGTCCGAGTATGTTTTAATCACCCTCTTCAGGCAGTGTTCCGTAGGTAGATTTGACGATAATGTCCTAAAAAAGTCAGTGAGTAAATAAGTAGTTGGACGCTGAGATATGAAGATTTTAAGAGAAAAATACTCGAAGCACAAAAAATAACTAATGTGATAATTCTGGATTGATAAAAAAATAGCAGGTATCACTGGGGGGGACGCCACCTGTAACAAAATTCCCATGAAACCACGAAGTATACAAATATGACGGATTTCAATACTGCTACGGCATCACTATGGAAGTCAAGCACTTGTAGCACATGCATTATGGGACTATACGGTGGACGTTGCCTGCCTGCCAGAAGTTTGTCTTCCAGAATCTGGATCGAGGACATCAAGGTTCCACAAGAGTATGTTGACTACGCGCTCTACCGCAGTTGTACGCAAACGAACACAGGACAAAATAAGGCGGCAACAGATATGAAAAAGCAAGTGCATAGCACTCTCTTAGCGCCTGAGTTTATCTAAAAGCGGATTGTCACAGCCTGCTTAAAAGAGGGCCTAGCAGATATGCCTGTGGTTGCTGTATATACCTCAAAATTGCAAGCGGATGAAGCCGTCAAGGCTGAGTTCTATGAAAACCTTCAAGGTACCTCCTAGAAATGTGCCCTTCTTCGCCGGAGACTGCAATGCAAGAACTGGCCCATGCAGTGAAACCACGAGACACATCTGCAAATATGGACTGAGCCAACGTTGCGACAACAAAGAACGATTGGTAACATTTGCTGACTATAACTAGCCCATCTTTACAAACGCTCGCTTCCAACACCCACATCGACAGTTACTAATATGATATTTAAACGAGGGTCGGACAGCAAACCAGACAGACTATATATTGGTACGCTCAGTGTGGGCGACCTCAGTATTTGACAGCCAATCTTTTCGAAGTGCGATAGCTGGATCAGACAATGTACTTGTCCGTGCTCTGCTTGTTGACTCGAAGTAAGAGATTGCCTCCGAAACGTATCAACGTCACGGCACCATCAAATACAGAAACTCATGGAGCGATCAATTAAAGTATCACTGTACGGATCAGAGATCAATCCACCGTTCACATCGAACCCTCAGATAACGTCGATAATCAAACTTCGCCCGGTACCAAGTTGCCACACCTGAGCGACGCCATACAAAGTGCGATTAATTTGACCTTGCTGCAACTGGTAGATCCGAGAAAGGATTGGGTCTCCATAACGACCCTCCATCTCACAACTCTAGCTAGGATCGCCCGGTTGTCCAACTCAGAATTATCGTTTATTGGGACATCAAACTAT